ATGGACAGATATGTCGTGCGACAGAAGTCCAGTGACTCTCAAGCTGGTCCTAGTGGCATTAAAAGAAGAAGGGAAGTAACCCTGGAAAAGGACTTGCTACCTCAAGTCCTAATGGAAGGGGATTCCCCTTCTAAACATTAACAACTTCAACACTCCCCTCCTCCCATCCCATCAATCATCACCAGATCTTCATTAACCCTTTAACTGTTTTTGACGTATAAATACGTCTTACGAGCCAATGTTTCTGATGTATATATACTCAATAATTCTAGCGGCTTCAAATCAAGCGGGAGAAAGCTGGTAGGCCCACATGTGAGAGAATGGGTCTGTGTGGTCAGTGTGCACCACATAAAAAAAATCCTGCAGCACACATTGCGTAATGAGAAAAAAAACTGATCGTTTTTTGGGAATAAAACGCCGACTTTGAGGTGTATTTTCGTATAGTATTTATCGTTGTATTCGCGTTTTCATGGTCTTAGGTGATAAAATGGAAAACATATTACAGAAATAGAGATGATTTTCATTACTTAGACGATGAAAACGACCTTGAAACTGAGCTCAAAGTAGCGGAAATGTTCGATTTTTACCAATGTTCAGGAGTAAATAAATCACACCACACATCCAATACACGTCAACTGGGGAGTCTAATATTCTTTTACTAGTGCACTGATATTATTTATACCATTTTTACAATAATGCAGAAGTCTGCATAACAGTAAATTTTGTATTTTTTTGTATGAATAAAAAATCAAAATAGAAAGCAATAATAATATAAGAGGGGCCTAGAGATGTGACTAATGAACAGAGCATATGTTATTTTAGTGCCACAAATGTCTACCTTGTTTATTCTGGACCCTATTTTGAAATTGGCATCTTTTTTAGTTTGCGTGAAATTGGCCAAATTGCTAATTTCTGACCACCATATTGGGTAGTCCAAATTAGTAAATGGGAGGTTTCTTGTACTCAGCTGATAGATAAAATGGAGTTCTAAAGAAATAGCTATGAGTTTGGTCAACTGGAACAATGGAATTGGCTGAAAATAGGGCTCAAAGTCGGCGAAATCGCCGATACGCATATGTCGCCGAGACCGCTAACTTCACGGGAGCATAATTCCATGAGTTTTCGACCAAATTTCGAACTTTTGGTGTCATTACCATCAGGAAAAGATTCTCTATCATTTCATAAGAAAAAATAATTTTTTTTTTTCAAAAATTGAGCGACATTGAATGACAGTTTCAGAAAGGGGCCTGAAACAGTCAAAGGGTTAAAGGTAAGTGTCATGTATTCTATTGTTAGTAGAGTACTACTAACTGTGCATGTCTTCTTCAGTTTGTGTGCATTAAACTTAATATTTCATGTGGTAAAACTTTTTTTTCATAGGACCTTTGGGTGTCTTGCACAGATTAATTTGATTTCCATTATTTTTTATAGGGAAAATTAATTCGTCTTCCGATAATTTTCGCATACGATGAGCTCTCAGGAACGGATTAATATCATATACCGGGGGTCCACTGTACTTACTTAAGTAACCTACCATTTATTCCATACTGCAAAATCAATGACATTACCAAACAGTTTTTACAAGAATTTCAACACCTACCTCTCCTAGAAGAATTTACACACATTTTGCACATTTTATTTACATCGTTACATAAATTAAAGATAACAAGGTGATGGTCAAGATGACAGTGGCAACCAACCTCTATGGACAGTCATTACATATTATTTACGTATTTCTCACTTTCCTTGGGTATACGTATTTCTGTACATAACATTATTAATAGCTCATTTAAGAAGACTATTAGGATTATTAATCCTGGAAGGTAAGTAACTCAGGTTAAACACACAAAACTAAGCAGTGTGGCACATTTCTATTATGTCCATTGGTTCTCATCCCGAGGATGTAACCCATAACTATCAGCTAACACCCAAGTACCTATTTGCTACTAAGTGATGAGGAAACATTGTACACCTGGCTGTCTTCAATAGACCCCTGGCTGTCTTCAAGAAGGCACTGGGCAGGCACCTGAAGTCAGTACCTGACCAAACGGGCTGTGGTTCATACATCAGCTTGCGTGCGGCCAGCAGTAACAGCCTGGTTGATCAGACCCTGATCCACCATGAGGCCTGGTCTCAGACCAGGCCACGGGGGCATTGACCCCCGAAGCCCTCTCCAGGTAAACTCCAGGCAAACCTGCTCAAAGATCTAACCCAGGTCCTTCACTCGATGATTGCAGGTGTTGCCACTCACACAATTTAACTACATATTTAAGTTTTTACTCAGGATTTGTGTACATAGCATATAATTCTTTTACAACTGTCTTAAGGGTATACAGAAAGCCAGCTGGCCCAGTGGTTAACACACTGGCCTGTGAGTCATCCAGGTTTAGTACTTAGTATGATATTATTGAGGGCATACAGGGGTCATGGATACAGAAACGGCACAGTATGTAGATTTAAAAACAAAAAGGCACAATACCATGAATTGAACAATACACAAATAACCCGCACAGAGAAACTTATGACAACATTTCGGTGTTATGTATGTGTACATAGATTTAACCTAGGATAATACAGTACAATAAAATTAAATGACATTTCTGTCAAGGTTCCTGTGACTGCACAGAGAACTACACATTTATATAAGAGATATAATGGCTAATATCCTGATCCAGTCTTCAAAAGAACTAAATTTTTTTTAAATACAAGTAAAGTATCTATAACCAGGCAAACATTATTATATCTTGCACAATTTATTATTTTACCTGGAGTTGATACTTTGAGGCCAATCATGGCAAAAATAAATAAGGACACGGGAGTGCCATATCAACTGTGGAACAAGTAGGTTAAGTTGTGTTGTGTGTTGTAGGTTAAGCTGTGTTGTGTGTTGTAGGTTAAGATGTGTTATATGTTGTAGGTTAAGATGTGTTATGTGTTGCAGGTTGTGTTATGTGAAGTAGGTTAAGTTGTGTTGTGTGTTGTAGGTTGTGTTATGTGTTGTAGGTTGTGTTATGTGATGTAGGTTAAGTTGTGTTATGTGTTGTAGGTTAAGTTGTGTTATGTGTTGTAGGTTAAGTTGTGTTTGGTGTTGTAGGGTAAGCTGTGTTAAGTGTTGAAGGTCAAGTTGTTAGGTATTGTAGGTCCAGTTGTGTTACATGTTGTAGGTTGTTAGGTGTTGTAGGTTAAGTTGTGTTAGGTGTTGTAGGTTGTGTTAGGTGTTGTAGGTTAAGTTGTGTTAGGTGTTGTAGGTTGTGCTAGGTGTTGTAGGTTGTGCTAGGTGTTGTAGGTTGTGTTATGTGTTGTAGGTTGTGTTATGTGTTGTAGGTTGTGTTATGTGTTGTAGGTTGTGTTACGTGTTGTAGGTTAAGTTGTGTTACATGTTGTAGGTTAAGTTGTGTTACATGCAGGTTAAGTTGTGTTACATGCAGGTTGTTACATGTTGTAGGTTGTGATACATGTTGTAAGTCATGTTACATATTGTAGGTTAAGTTGTGCTACGCATTGTAGGTTAAGTTGTGTTACATGTTGTAGGTTGTGATACATGTTGTAAGTCGTGTTACATATTGTAGGTTAAGTCGTGTTACATGTTGCAGGTTAAGTTGTGTTACATGATGAAGGTTAAGTTGTGTTACATATTGTAGGTTAAGTTGTGTTACATGTTGTAGGTTGTGATACATGTTGTAAGTCGTGTTACATATTGTAGGTTAAGTCGTGTTACATGTTGCAGGTTAAGTTGTGTTACATGATGAAGGTTAAGTTGTGTTACATATTGTAGGTTAAGTTGTGTTACATGTTGTAGGTTGTGATACATGTTGTAAGTCGTGTTACATATTGTAGGTTAAGTCGTGTTACATGTTGCAGGTTAAGTTGTGTTACATGATGAAGGTTAAGTTGTGTTACATATTGTAGGTTAAGTTGTGTTACATGTTGTAGGTTGTGATACATGTTGTAAGTCGTGTTACATATTGTAGGTTAAGTCGTGTTACATGTTGTAGGTTAAGTTGTGTTACATGTTGTAGGTTACGATGTGTTACATGTTGTAGGTTGTGATACATGTTGTAGGTTGTGATACATGTAAGTCGTGTTACATGTTGTAGGTTACGTTGTATTACATGTTGTAGGTTAAGTTATTTTAGGTTTATCCAGGCTGGTTTACCATATTTATACTACTTGCACGATAAAAAGTCTTGTAGCCTGGTAGGTAACAATCTGACACACAGAGTGTGTGGTTCAATCCCCGGCCGGGCGGAAACACTGGGTGTTTCCTTACACCTGCTATCCCCATTCACCTAGCAAGCAAGTAGGTACTAGTGGCCAACGGGTGTGGGTCGCATCCTGGGGGACATAATTAAAGGAACCTAATGGAAATAAGACAGTCCTCGATAAGTGACTTTCTTGGGTCATCCTGGGTGGACGAACAAAATATTTAATTAACAATGAAGAATAAGAAATAAATAACACAAATCATACAAGAACATCTGTATTGAATACAAAAAACATAGAGACACCTGTGTGTATGTGTACCTGTGTCCTGATACGTGGTGCTGTCAATAGGTACCTGGGTGTGAGTAGTGTGGTGAGTGGCATCCTGGGGGAGGGGATGACACCACAGTCACCAGTAACTCTGGGACTCTTCTGCTTAATATTTCCAATATTATAACATCATCTACATTTATCACTGACCACCACTAGGCCTATAGCACCACCACTAGGCCTCTAACACCACCATTAGGCCTCTAACACCACCATTAGGCCTCTAACACCACCATTAGGCCTCTAACACCACCACTAGGCCTCTAACACCACCACTAGGCCTCTAACACCACCACTAGGCCTCTAACACCACCATTAGGCCTCTAACACCACCATTAGGCCTATAACACCACCACTAGGCCTATAACACCACCACTAAGACTGAAGTATAGGCCGTACAATAGGTGAGGGCCACACCCGTGGCCACACTTGGCCAGGCCACACACTGGTGGGCCACTACCACTTACTCTGCTCTACTGTGTCAGGAGAGTGAGTCAGTGTCAGGAGAGTGAGTCAGTGTCAGGAGAGTGAGTCAGTGTCAGGAGAGTCAGTCAGTGTCAACAGTAACATCAACACTTACGTTCAAAACCTGCGCCGTCACCACCACTACTGACTCAACAACAACAATATTGTTAACATATAATAATAATTTAATAATAATAATAATAATAATAATAATAATAATAAATAATAATAATAATAAATAATAATAATAATAATAATAATAATAATAATTAATAATATTAATAATAATAATAATAATAATAATAATAATAATAATAATAATAATAATTAATAATAATAATAATAATAATATAATAATAATAATAATAATAATAATAATAAATAATAATAATAATAATAATAATTAATAATAATAATAATAATAACAATAATAATAATAATAATAATAATAATAATAATTAGTCTGCCCGAATTGCCCCGGGATAATAGTGGCTTTCTATGCCCTGGCATAAAAGTGGCTTACTTTGTACCTAACAAATTATACAGTGTAATCACAGACTGTAACCTTTGCAAAGAAATAAATTTGAGTTTTTGTATATATTTCAACTGATACAATGTTTGTACAAGTGTGAAGGACATTCAGGTGTGCATACAGAAAATCCCTCGAGGAAATTAAAAGTGCATCAATGTATACGACAAATTCTAATCATACAATAAAGCGAAAAAGTAATGTGAAGGACCTGGGAGTGATAGTGTCATAGGATCTCACCTTCAAAGACCACAGCAATGTATCTACCTCATCTGCTAGGAAAATGATAGGATGGATAATGAGAGCCTTCAAAACTAGGGATGCCAGTCCCATGATGATTCTCTTCAAATCGCTTGTTCTCTCTAGGCTGGTATACTGCTGTACACTAACCGCCCCCTTCAAGGCTGGTGACATTCCAGACCTGGAGAATGTACAAAGAAATTTCACAGCAGACCTAAGAACGATAAGTTAGTTTAATATGTTTATTATGCACCCCATGCCCATCCTGTGGGCGCTAGTCAAAAGATTACAGAGGTATATAATTGGTCCAGGGACTGGACTCCAAAGTTTTGATAGCTGAGCAAGTTACAGAGGTAATGAATTCACAATTTACAAATGTAATGAACTCACAATTTACAAAGGTAATGAACTCCAGGTAGGTCTAGTCACAATCATGACAAGTTACAAAGGTATTTACAGATTACAGAGCTACGTAATGGGTCCAGGGACTGGGCCCCCAAAGTTTTGATAGCTGAACTAGGTACAAAGGTAATGAGCTCACAAGTTACAAAGGTAATGAATTCTGTAAGAATGGTTACTTACGTTTATATATGGCTACAATCATGAACAAATTATAGTGTAATGAGCAATTCACACTTCCACACCTGGTCACAACTGTAATGAGTTATTGGTGCAAATATTGATTGTTGAGTCACACACACACACACACACAATCGTGTGACCAGTGTGTGGAAATTATTTAATTTCCGAAGCTATAGTGCCTAATAAGTGTTTAATGTGTTGACTTGGGTCAAAATGTATTTGTATTTTGAATGGAACCAACTGGGTTCCCGCTGCGCCTGCGCAGATGTGCGGGGGTATAGGTCGAACAGGGGCACGAGGGGGCGGCAGTGTTTTGAATGTAGTGAGGAGGCTGTGAAAACCTGGGATCGGGAAATTGGCGTTCACGGCGGCCTAAGGATTAATATGGGCCTCACCTCATAATAGGAAGTGTCGTAACTGTTCCTGGTGAAGAGTGAGGGAATGTGATTTACGGGACCACCGTAAAAAGGTGGTAAAATTAGTGAATAATGGTTCGACCGGGTGTGACTGGTGCGCGGCCATGGTGTGTGTCCAGGGGAAATACCCGTGTGTTAATCCTCACTCATCGGCCTCAGATCTTAATGGAGCGACCTCTAATGTGTATAATAATCATGAGACGTTAAATCGTCTTGTGAATGGTAATGAAATCAGTGATAATAACATTGAGTTAAGAGAATGCGGGATGTGAAATAGATCGCCCTGCTCCGAGTGAACGCGTGATTCTCGTACTGAGGATAGTGAAGCTTTATCGAATCACGACTTCTAAACCGGGACAAACAGACGGATACCTCGTCCTGCTGGAATAAGAACCGTGTCGGTGTAGCAGGACATCGAAATGAGATGGTGAATGGAGGGAATAAGGAGTATCAATCACCCACAGTTAAGTAACCCTTCTAGTTATAGCAGACTGATACTGGCCAGTTAGGTATGTTGTAATTGGATAGGTTATGGGTGATCCAGCTACATCAAGTGACCACCAGAGAATATCTGGTAAGTGGTGAGATTATGTACAAGTGTTTTCCTTGATGGATATATCCATGTGTAACCTACCCCACCCCCCTTCATTCAGTTAAACTAATATAATCTATACAGTCCACAATTAATTAGTAGCACCGTACTTGTGGGTGCTATCCAATCCACACTGGTCTCGGATAGATATGGATAAGATTGTGAGGTCGAAGGAACCACTTGCCGTGACCAGGGGTGGTTAAGTTTTCTCACATGTCTACACAGGGTGACTACGGTAAACAATATGGTTGTCTCCCAATGAGTTTACTTGTAAGCATGTAATGCTGAGGTACAGAAAGGTAATCACCCTATAAAATTTTCCATACAGTGAAAGAAATACAGTGAATAGGGTAATTATTAACGAGAAGAAATTGAGGTGGATCTACGCCAGGACGTACATCGAGCTGGATCTACGCCAGGACGTCATATCGACCTGGACAATCTACAGTGCTACAGCTGCACTACAAGTACTGTATCACCTATGAGTGGTTGTTTGGGTGTGGGGTTCCAGGTTCCAATTAACCGCCAAGCTGAATGTGAATGGTCTAACTCTCATAGCACGATAAAGAATAGGCACTCAAGTATTCAATAAGGTTTAGCAAATGGTAATCCATTGAACAAGGACTAACTCACTATAAGCAGGTCGAGCATAGGCAACACTGTAAGGGTGGGAGTCAGGTCACAAGAGGTTGTGGACACAAGTGACAACTGAGAATCTACATTACACTCCAAGCACAAGCCACCTACTTTTCAGACACATAATAAACCCACACATAATTCGACTCAGATCACAACATAATTGAGGTTCAGACATGTATGCGTGGAGCCTCAGACCGACAAAATGAGACTAGTCACGAGGGAGCATTCACCAAATTCAACTTCAATAACAAAAACATAAAGTGGGACCAAGTAAACCAAGTCCTAACCGATATAAGCTGGGAAGATATACTAAGCAACACAGACCCAAACTTATGCCTAGAACAGATTAACTCGGTGGCACTCGATGTATGCACAAGGCTTATTCCCCAAGAAAAAGGAGGAGTAGATGTAAAATAGAAAGAGACAGGCGCTCCCTTTTCAGGCGACGGAAAAGAATAAACAGAGCGGCTAAAAGAGGTCAATATATTAGAAATGCGCAGGAGACACTGGTCAGAGAAATAGCAAGCATCGAACTTAAGCTAAAAGAATCCTTTAGGAGTCAGGAATCGCGGGAAGAACTAAAAGCCATAAATGAAATCGAAAGAAAACAAAGTATTTCTTCTCCTATGCCAAACAAAATCGAGAACAAAAGTCCAGTTTTGGGCCCTACTTAAACAAGATGGGTCCTACACAGATGCAGCAGGAATGAGTGAGCTACTCAAGTCCCAATATGACTCAGTTTTTAGCAAGCCCTAACCAACTGAGAGTCGAAGATCAAATGAATTTTTTATGAGAGAGCCACAAAATTTGAAATTTAAAACAAGCCTATCGATGTTATCCTGACGCCAAATGACTTCGAACAGGCGTAAATGACATGCCCATGCACTCTGCCCCAGGGCCAGACTCATGGAACTCGTGTTCACAAGAACTGCAAGAAGCCCCTATCACGAGCCTTTTCCATCCTATGGAGAGGGAGCATGGACACGGGGGTCGTCCCTCCCGTTACTAAAAACAACAGACATAGCCCCACTCCACAAAGGGGGCAGTAAAGCAACAGCAAAGAACTACAGACCAATAGCACTAACATCCCATATCATAAAAATCTTTGAAAGGGTCCTAAGAAGCAAGATCAACCACCCATCTAGAAACCCATCAGTTACACAACCCAGGGCAACATGGGTTTAGAACAGGTCGCTCCTGTCTGTCTCAACTACTGGATCACTACGACAAGGTCCTAAATGCACTAGAAGACAAAAAGAATGCAGATGTAAAAATATACAGACTTTGCAAAAAACCTTCGACAAGTGTGACCATGGGGTAATAGCGCCAAAAAAATGCGCGCTAAAGGAATAACAGAAAAGTTGGTCGATGGATCTTAATTTCCTCACTAACAGAACACAGAGGTAGTCGTCAACAGAGTAAAGTCCCAGGAGCTCGGTGAAAAGCTCTGT